CTGTCTGGGAAATATTGGGTGCCTAGCACTCACTCTCCACTGAGAGTGAGTTAATTTAGGTTAATCCTTATTAACCATAGCCATTCTACAACTGGTATATTTTTAAAATAAAATCTTGGTCTCAAACCAGAAGCTTAATATTAACAATTTGTCATTGCAAAGAACTTTTACCTAGTGCTCTGCCTAGCATTCCTTCCCCTTGCCTAGCATGTGATTCTAATGAGGTTCTGATAGGTGAGATTGGAAGGCAATTTACCGAGGAGGTCTTTCAGTTACACTGTCACGGGTGAAGACACGAAGGGTTTGGGAACAAATACATGAGGCTGTGCAGAAGGAGAGGTGAGAGCTTGCACCAGAGCTAAATGAGGAATACCAAAATCTCTAACCATGCTTCAAGTGTTAGTAGTGTTCCCAGAGAAATTGCTTTTTAGTCCAAAGGAGGTGGCAAAAAGAAGAGGAGCTATGAATGAGATCAGTCTTCACCAGGATGAAACAGCAACCTGAGCGTCACTACTACATGCCCAAGAACTGGATGCAGCATATGTCTGGAGGATGCCTGATGGAAGGATGAAATCCTAGAAATGAAATACCCTCTGCAGTGATGTTACCAGTCAGCTTCTGAAAGAAACGATGCAGTATGGCATGCCTCACCTTCGAGGCAAGTTGAGATGCAGGCAGAAATTGTTAAATGAGGCTTGCGATATTATTGTCAAAGTATTGATCATGTATGGCTTGGCAAGAAGGAGCTCTCCTGCTAAAAGTTGCCCGAGCACGGGAAGAGCAGCAGCAAAGCAGCTCTTCCTTCCCGCACGGGCACGCCGAGCACAGGCTTTGCAGAGGGCTGCGGGGGCTGAGAGCCCGCCCGGTGCCGCTGCCACATCTGCCGGCGCTCCCCGTGCCAAGGGGTCAGAGCTCAATCATAATCCTGTTGCCCCCCCTGCTGGTTAAAAGCCTGTGCTCATTTTGTTACTTTACACCGAGATAAACATTGCAGTCATTTCACACTTCCTTTAACATTCAATATGAATTTAATTATCATTTGTTTGGACTTCGTTTGTTACGAAGGAAAACAGTTTATCATAGCCACTCGCCTTGTTAGTTTATTCTTTTCTCGTTATTGCTTATGTGATCCTCCAAAGACTCCAATGTTTAACGTGCTCCAAACCATCAGGCCTCAGTCTTCCTTCTCGGCTTTTTTTGATGAGAAAGGTCAAAAAATTAAAAACTCACTTTTATTGAAGAGTGAACAAAAAAAATTGGGTTTCTTATGGTGGAATTTACAGGTAGCAGCCAAGCATTTGTGACTGTGACTGTCAGCAATATCTTCGTTGTCAAACTAACATGAGAGGAAGTTTGATAACCTCCAGGTAAAAGCCCTTTGATTTTTATTTTAAATTCCAATAAAATTTTAGAGGTCTTGTTTGAGGCAGTATTGTTTGTGGAATATGACATCTCTGTCTCTACTTTCTGTCTTAATGCCTTGTCATAGTTCTTGATGTCTGCCTGTCAGCACAGCAAGAGGGATTTTTTCATGTCTGAGTAGTCACCTTAATGATAGCAGATGGAAACACCACAGGGGGTCCAAGCCCATCACACTGTCATTGTCACAGACTGCCCTGACCTGTTTCCACTCCTCTATTTTTTTGTCCCTTTTTAAAGGAGAAATGGATGGTAATTGAAAAGGATCTTAAGCAAGACTTATGAAGCTGCAGACAACATGATTCCCTGCTATCTCTCTCTGTTTTCACAAATAAAGTCTTAACCTCTTAAGCACCAATAGCAGTAGAAAGAAAGCTAAATTGGTAAAGCTTTATAAAGATTGGCCTACAAAAGCTTTTTCTTTTTCCCTCCTCGGGATGCATCCAAGCTGTTACACCCTCACCGTGGTTGGTGGGTGCTTTATTTTTTTTTTTTTAGATTTATCATTTCCAGCACAGAATTACCCATTTCCTCATGAAAAATGGCTGTGCTGTTTATTCATTGCCATGCTATCTGTTGTGATCATGCTGAAGTATCAGAAAATTATGCATATAATGACAGGAAACTTATGGATTCGTCTCAAACGAGAAGTGAACACTGAGTTAAATTCTTTTTTTATTTGCATTTTAAGACTTTTTAATGAAGATACTCAAAGCTACGTTAAATCTTAAAATACAGAATGGGACATGTTTATGATGCGGAAGAAACAAGCAGATTATTCATTTTGTAGAATATTTTTTAAATGGCGCACTAAGAATTAAAGGGTTTGGGGAACTAAAAGGTGAGATCAGATGCTTGCTGGTTTTTTTCAGAGTCACCTTGAAATGTTTACATCTGTTAAAATATTTTAAGTGACTATGTAGTTTTGAAAAAGCTACTAGACACCTGCCTAAATCCTTAAGCCATGAGTTAACTTGAAAAATCTAGCTGTGATCTAGATGTTTGATTGCACCAGTGATCTAGCTAATTGATTCAGAAAATGCCTGCGTTAAATCTATATTCTAGGTATGTTCAGAATTGATTAAAAATACGAAAATAAGTGAAGTAATAAAGTGGCAAATCTTCCAGTCATTATTCAGAAAAGATTTTAACTGAAACACATTATTCCATTTGTTTTACTCATATTTTTATTACTTTATATATGCCCAATTTGACCATATTTCATACATCAGAGAATGTTTGTTTTTGTCATTCTTATAACCAGTTTTAAACTAATAAGACATACTCGTTTGTAATTTAATGAAAAAGGGAAGGTGGGCTCTTGCATGATTATTAATAATGAATAGCTATAGCAGTCAGATTTCAAAAGCAGTTCTACTCTTTTTTCCTGACAACCAATGGATTTCCTTAGAAGAGCAGTACTATTGTGCCAATACCGTTTTATTTCACAGTGTGACTGCTGTGTCTCTTTTACAATGTTACGAAGTTGTATTCCAGTCAATTACAGAATTCTTCTTAAAAAATCAGACAACTAATATTGGGAGATGTTACCAGAGTTAATTAAAAGTTGTTTGTTTGTTTTTGAAGTTGAGCTGCCTGCTCAGTACCCCTGCGGTTTTAAAATAAAAATAAAAAATAAGCAAACTGCTAACCTTGATTTCTGATTATCTGCCTCAAAGACCCCAACTGACAACAAGAAAATAAGTCTGTATATTAGAAACTCATTACCCATGAAATGTTGTTAAATGTACACATTGGAAAATGTTGGAGGAAAAGACATACAAAATCATATTTTCTCTAGTTTATCTGAAAAATGTGATTTGTGTCCAAAAATAATCATATGAATTTTCATGACAAGTCTATTACAATATCCCGTATTTAAAAGAGATTATTTTGTTCTCAATTTCATCTTCTAACAGATTGAATGCTTTCAGATATATACCTGTATAATAGATCATCTACTAGTAACTCATCTTCAGTGGATATTTCAGCATTGTAGTTTAGTTAAATGATATTTAAGCATGCCTAATTTCTTCGTATTTTTGTCTAAAGATTTTTTATAGTGGCTATAATTGCAGAGCAGTAAAGATGATCATGTATTTCCAATATATTTTTTCCAAACAGTTCTTGTTTATGTCACTAGAAAAACTAGTGCTAAAAGGATAATTCAGTGTGACTGGTGTCTATGACCTCTAGGTTAATAAAGACAAAAAGCTGGCTGCAGAGAGAATTAGTGTCTGAGGTGGAAGTACCTGAACTAATACCAGCAAGTGGCTGTGAGATTGTTAACTTTCTGTCTGACATATAAAAGTGAAATATAGGTGTTGGTATTTTCTCTCTTAATTCATTCTGCAGAACATGCATTGTTACACTGTGTATATATAATCTCATTACTGTTTTTTTTTACAGCTATTTGATTTTACTCAAAGGTCAGCCTTCATGTTATTTCTATTTCCACATCTCCCTTAAATTGTGTTCTGAGATTGACCTTTGACAGAATATCTGCAGCTGAAAACATTTATCTCAGTTTATTTATAAAACTTTTCTGGATCCTAATGTTTATCTGCTGATTGGATATGACAAGTGTATTAACTCCTGCTTTGTCAAAGTTCTCTGAAATAATAAAATAATCAGACTTAGAAAGCGTAGGGAGAAAAGACTTAAAGGAAATCTAAACACTGAAAAGTTAGCCTTGCAAATCAACCTAGAAATGTGCTGCTTGGTAACAATATAACATTATCATTAGTTCTTCATGGTTTGAACAGGTATAAAAATTATTAAATATATTCCTTCCTTCTTATATAACAGGATGTGTCCTAAAATAAATGATATCTATATTCTTGTCCACAAAAAGGCTATATATAACCTATATCAATTCTGGAAAATGAAAATAAAAACGAAGGGCACTTGTTTTGGTATCTGTTAAAAAAAATGCCTTCATAATAGCTGACATGCAAAATCAGATGCTGCTTGTGTTTCTTAGTGCTTTATGTGCACTTCTGTCCCGTGGATAACCTTGATCCCATAAGTGCTTGCATATTCAAGTTCTGAGTAGTCTACGTGAAACGTATGAGTGCCTTCCTTCAATTTAAGGAGGTTGCTTATGTGCTCAAAGCAGACATAAGCATATGTGCTTACAGATTTAGTCTATATTTTCATTATTGCATGTGAGTGTTAATTGAGGAATACTGGCCTGGAAAGTCAGTGATCCACAACAATAATAGTCTAATTTCTTACAAACCTTTCATTGCTCTTGCTCACTGGATTACTTTCTGGAGAATACTTGAGGTTTCCACAACCAAGGTCCTTTGCAATGGCTTTTATATGATTATGTAATGCAATGCTTGTGTGCATCAGTAACTAGTTACAACTTCTGCTTATACATCTCTTCCCCTGCTGTCCGTCATCTCTTCTATGCTTAGTTTTGTGGAGATGACCAAGTAAATTCTTCACTGTGAATTGTGAATGCACAACTTCTCCTTTGGGCTGGTACAAGTACTGAATCCAAGTTGATTCTGTGAAGAAAACCTCCAAAATGTATCTGTCAAGATAAACTTAATTTCTGTTTTTGTATTCATATAGGGTACTGCTATCTTTTCACAGGGAAAAAGTAGGAACTTCAGAATATGGAACATACACTATTTGATATCTTTTACAAATACTAGGGAAAAGCCTCCCCTCATTGGAGTTCACAGCAAAATTCCAAGCCTGCAGGTAAGCCTTGCATTCCCCTGGAGATATGTTGTTAGAAAACCGGCTCACCATCATTCTCTCTTCTTCTCTAAGGCTTGCAATTTAGAGGATGTTAGAATTGTGGTTGAGAGAGAAAATGTCTGGAACATTGCTCTGCTCTTATAATCCCTGCAGTCATTATCACTGTGATTGTTTGGAACAGTCTGGGGATTGTTTTATGCTACACTTGGGGTCAGAGCAAAAACAGAATTAGTTCATCTTTGTTTTTCTTCTTTGTTCCACTTTAACTGGAATGTTTTGATTTTATGATTTGAGTTTACGTTGACTTTGTGCTGAATAAGATACCTTAATAAAAGACCTATAAATGTGTACTATTTGTACACTTACTCTGTTTTCTAAATAGCAATATGAGACTCAAATGGAATTCTTATGAGATAACACTTGTTAAAGAAAATATATCCTTTCCAAAGTTCTTAAAATGAATCTGTTTGTCATTGTTCACTCTTAGCTGGGGAAGCTTGTACAGGACTCCCAGAAAATGCCAAGTGTACAGATTAATATGCACTTCACAGCTTGACTACGATTGACATGAATAGCTGTTTTATACAATAGAAAGCCAATATATTCATTTTTGTTGCAGTGCAATGAAACTGATGTTGCTTAAAAGTTATTTTGCTTTGTATCTTTCTCATTTCCTGGTTTTTGTGACTTGCATTTTCTTTGTACAGTCTGTGAACCAGCAAGATGCTGTTACTGTTTCATTAATTTAGAGAATGTACTGTAAATGTACTACCAATTAAACATTTTTATGGTATTTCATTTTATAAAATATTTTGAAACAAATGCAAGACAAGCATCTGTAGCAAAATAGATATATGCTCCTCTACTAGGAGTATGTCTTTGTATTTACAGAAAACAATATTATAGAATGTTACTGTAATACCTTTTTTTTTTTTTTTAACATAAAGTGCCTCAATACAGAAGTAATTAACTTATTTCAAGTGCATTAATAACTGAATATTTAGATGCAGATGAGTTTGATTACTCGTGTAAAATCGAGGCAGTTCATCCCAAAGAATGAAGTACTGAATTAGGACTGATAACTCATACGGTATGAAGTAGTTACCTACATCTAGATTCACCTTCTGGTTAACCGAGGTGAATACACATTTGTAAAGAGCTACTTGTTTCATCTTAGAGTACATTTCTATGTAGGCTTGTTGAATTGCACTTCACTGGTGCTTATTTATCTGCATTGGCTTTAGACCCCAATTGGCTCAGATTTTGATATCTTAGGCGAGCTGAGACGAGCCTCGCTCTCCTGGCTGTTCCTATTCCTCAGTCACGGACAAACCAGTTCTGACCTTCATTTTGTGTCTGACTTGTCTTTACAGGAGTTTAAATATTTTTGATTAAAGAGTCTATGCAAACAGTTTGCCACTATGATCACTGCAATGCAAACTCAAACAGCTTTGGATAAATTCCTGGTCTGACTCTGTTACTGTGTAAAACTCAGCAGACACCACTGGAACAGTTAGTTCCCTTGCTTGGTGGGATGAAAGACGGATGCATACAGAAGAAGCTGAGAGGTGATTAGCACTTCTCTGACTTGAAGTTTTACACAACTTCCTTTGGGCAACAGAACGGTAATATACTTCACTTTTTTTATAATAATGAACTTAAATGATTTTTATTCATTGTGCATTGTTATTTATATTTTACCAACTCAGTCATCCAACATCTCAAAGTCACATGATCAAGAACATTTGAAGATTGCCAGGGCTAATACAAGCTTTTCTTTCTTTCTTTCTTTCTTTCTTTCTTTCTTTCTTTCGCTGATTATATATTGGGTTTGGTATTAGAAAGCAGGATGAAATAATCCATCGGTTATGCATCTGGAATGAACACTATTATGAATTATAATATGTTATCTTCAAAAGGCATTTTTAAAAGCTAAATTCAGAGTAAAGGTGCCAGATATATTTTGATTTTCAAAATCTGAAAGTTCAGTGAGGTAAGGAAAATGCTAAGAGGATTACACTAAGAGACAAAAGGCTCTGATGCATGTTCTGGATGTGTATACTTCTAAAATGTCTTCAGGTTTAGGTATTAGAGCTGAGCCCCTGGCTGTTACTCTTAATCTTTTATTGCCAAGTAAAACCTTTCCTGCAGAGTGGAATTCAGGATGTATAATCCTTGCGCATAAGCTTGGGATTGCAGCTAACCATGGCAATTACAACCTGTTGTTCTTTTATTGGTGCTGAGAAAGATCGGCTATAAACCAGCAAGCTGGGATAGATGACTAATCAAGTGATATCAATCTCAGCATTTCATCAGCTATTGTTTTTTGGGGGGGCAGGGTGGTGTGGGATTTTGGTAAATAAGTTTTGCCCTTGTAGAGTTCAAAATATTTTTACTGGGTTTTAGAAGTTATTCTGTACACTTTGGGGGTCTTTTGCAGAAAGTGGAACAATTTAAATGTATCCGTAAAGTTTGCTGATTTCTTTCATTCAACTGGGAAATTTTCAGTATTCTACGGATATTTCAGGTCCAATTTTCCATTGTGCTGCTACATGTTATGTATAACCACCAGTCAAGGCATTTTGAATAGAAGTGAGCATAGCAGATGGAGACCCATTTATGAACTGCAAACAATTATGAACATGCTAAGCAGAGCTTTAGCCCATTACTACAAATGCTTTGTTGAACTGTGGTTATCAAAATGAATGTTTGTCAGTATCAAAAAAAAAAAAAAATTATAAGAGGAAGAAACTCATACTATTTATTATTAATTAGATTATGATTAGATTACACAGGCATTCTTTATTGATTTTTTTCTCTTAATATTTCAAACTTTCATTTAGATAACTAATTAACAAAACCTTTTTTTATTATCTTATTTACTTTTTTTTATTATTATTTAATGTAGGCTTCTGTTAGATTCATTAGTCTCTTGTTTCTACTTCTAGGTTTTATACTTTAATTGAAGGTCAATTTGATGTTTTCTTAAGTGTGTTTAAGGGAAATTGTGCAATGGTTAGTGCAATGAAAGTACCCTGTCTGAAATGTATGTGATAGAAGTTTTGTGTGGCACAATAAAACAGTCAGTGTAATTTTTTACTGCTTTGCAAACTAGCAACTTTGTTTGCAGCTCTAATGATCTAGCTCAGTTGGTTGCTAACTCTCCAACTGACTGTCGTGGGCTGCTAGTCTTGAAGAAACTGTAAGACTGAAAAAGTTGAAGTCTCCAAAAAGGAAGTTATGGCCACTGTTGCTTGTTGTAGATACTGTTCTGGTTGTGCATTTTTTTAAACATTTTGAAGTGGGCTAAGAGAAGCATGCTTCTGACTCTTTAAACACTGTCACAACAGTATTGTCTGTATTCCTGAGAACTGGGCTGTGATCAACCACTAAATGAAATATTGAAAGGTTGAAGCCTTTAACCGACTTATTAGATCATACTGCTATGATTCACAGGAATTTCCTTGTGGAAATAAGCCGATACAACTCTTCTGCATAAAACAGAAAGGTAGCTTTGCATTTTAAGTCCAAAGTGCATTTTGTATTAAATGTACTTTGACTTCGTTAATAGGCCAAAATTGTAAGTAAAATAACATTAATTTTGAGATGTTTAGGCTGATCCAAAGTATTTTGTGTTTGCTACTGAGAAAATGAGGATGGCACTTCCTAGAGAAAACACCATCCAAAGCTATCGGTACTACTGATGTTATGGCCTCTGGCTAATCTATGACTGATCACCAGATATTGTACCCATAGGCTGTGATACTTCCTTCTGTAACAGTGTGAAAAATCAGCCATGAACATAAAACATACAGGTAACTGAACTGAGCTTTGCAGACACTTTTGTGTAAGGTACAAGTTTCATATTCTTAGGATGATGTTATAAAAGCTTAAATTTCATCAGTTTTGGAAGATCTGTCTTAGTTATTTTTGGTTTGGTGTTCTCAAGGAACCAAGTCCTTTTCAGTGTACATACTCCTGTGTTTTCAGAAATACTAATTAATTCCGTAAGATGATACAGTGAAACATCTCTTATAATTGCTTCTTTGTGCAAAAGTGTATACTTTTAATGAAAGGTTACTACTTCTGAAAAGGACTGATCTTCCTTGCATCACAAGATCATGGGAGCTGTAATGTCTCTGCCCCAAACAAGTGTGGAGGAAGAAATGAGGAGAAGGGCAGTCCTGATCTTTGTATTAGATGTGGGCTGTAGAAGGTATGAAAGTGCCCATGAAGGACAACACAGGGAACTTTTTCATCTTTCACTGTTTGCATTCTCCCTATATTTCAAATATTCCTAATATTCAATCTCCCTAAATCAATCTCCCTAAATTCAATCTCCCTAAAAATCTCCCTAATATTCAAATATTTTCCTTATGAAAAGAACAGTGGCTTCAGTAATTAAGAGTTGAAAAGGCTATAGATTCATTTGAATTTCAAACAGGATTGAATTTTATAAAGTGAGAATCAGTACCCTGCAGAAACAATAACTTCTTGGGCTAAAACATGAATGATATATTATTATATATTCCTTTGTTTAATTGCTAGGAGAAAATCTCTCTTTTTTTTTTTTCTTTATTTTGTTAGTGTAACCAACGTACCAAGTCACCATGAAAAAAAAATACATCTTAAAATGCTTATAGCTCAAGTAAACCCTTTTTTATTTTTTCTATTTACATATCAATATTGCAGAGAACTCTGAACCAGTGAAACATTCATGCAGTGAGAGTACAGGGGAAGCTGGCTTTTGTGGTGATGTGTTTTTTTTTTTGTTTCTTCCAGTTCTCCAATCAAGTAGCAAAGAAAGCTTTACTGTGCTTGGGGGGAATTATACTGTCTTAGCCTTGTGGTTGTTAAAGCATAAACTGATGACAAAGTCGTTATAGGAAATGTAAAGACATAACTAGGAACTTTTAACTAACCTTACTTTGAAAAAGGCATGGTTGAAATAATACTAGAAGTTAACATAATTGTTACCATGACAGTCATTGTCCTTATCAATATCCTGTAAATTCCTGTAAAGAGTAGAACAATAACTGAATATGAAATAATTCTCCTCAAAAAGCAGAAGTAACCTACCTGTGTATATTTGAAAGTGTTACCACTCTTATTTTACTTTAAACTCCATTCATTTAATATACACCTTTTCCAACTATTCAGATATTCTGGGAAATTTCTAAGGTTGGTAAGTATGCTTAGAGAGTGCATAAGTCAGTGCAAATTTTATTTGATTCTAAACTTTTATTCAAACAACCTCTTGGTCAAATTAATGACTTTATTATTAGATTTCACTGCTTTTTTTTCTCCTCCATGTGATTCAGCCACAGATGGAAATGCCAGAATGAAAGACAATGGTCATAAATTGAGAGGAGGTACAATGGTAGAAGAGGGGGGAAAACAAAATCCCTTTAAGCATGATTAAGTATTGAAACAAAATGAAAAAATACATTGTAGAATCTCCATCCTTGGAGGTTTCCAAGACCTTAATGGATAAAGCCTTAAGGAACTAGGTTTGAATTAGTGTTGACCCAGCTCTGAACAGGATGTTGGAGTAGATATGCTCACAAGATCCCTTCCAAAATGGGTGCTTCTGTGACTTACTCTTTTGCTTTGTTTTGGTCACCAAAGCCTAAAAAAAAGCATTTTCTTAATGAATTTTCTTTTTTTTTATTATTATTATTTTTTTTATTTTTTAAATAGTGGATTTGTTTTTATCCTGTTTTACCATGGCCCTTCTGCTGCAGCAAGGCAGCTATGAGTAAACCAGCTCCTTGTGATATATGATATATCTTTAATGATTGGACTGCCTTGGTAGTCAAGAATTATCCCTCTTTTTCTGTTCTCTTAACTGACAGCAGAGGGAGCATATTCAAATGAGAGTTGATATTCAAATTTTGGATGGAAGGATAGAGACAGGGTCTTCGATATGGTTATTGGCTAGCGCAGAGCAATGATTTTATTCTTTGGCAGGGATTCTGTTGGAGATGATGGAAACTGTAGGAAAACAGCTACTACTGTTGTCCTATTTTGACTCATCACTGACAACATGGAATAATCTGATGCTATAAAAAGTAAATGCTAAGCTTTCCAAATTTATTCCTAAAGAAAAAGAGGAAACTGTTTTTTGTCACTTTGCAGTGCACTTTAATGGAAACAAGTATATTTAACTTTTTAAAGTTTTTGAAATGTCTTTGATAATGTATATGTGAATATCAGAACAGCTTGGAATAAATAAATTAGAATATATAGTTTAAGTATTTCTCTGATGAAAAATATATGGTTTTCAGTATAACATTAAAATAGTTTTGTAATGTGCTTTTTAAAGCATATTACATATCAGATACTAATAAACCCTTTCTTAGCCTACAGTCACATGCCAAAGACCTATTATTGATATTCTGAATACTAATTGCTTCCACCACATTATCTTTGTTGTGAAGCTTCACCTCTTGATGAATGTAACCAGTCGCTGAGTGCCAAATCAGCCCTATCAAGTTCAAGTCAAAGGTCTGGCAACAACAGAGCCTTTCTACGCTCAAGTACATTAGCGTGTTGCCAACTTTATTGCTAAATTTGAACTACTTGTACTGTGCAGATTTATCTGAAAGGAGATGGTGATACTGTAAGTAGCGTATCATTCAGTCAGCAGAATGAGTATTTACTCAATTAGCTGTTTTAGCCTGGGATAATGTTACACTATTATTTGGAGCTTTGATTTCTGTCAAGAATTACAGGACAAATTAAATAGCTAATTCTGGCTATTTATATTTTAAATAAGTTGAGTATAAATGTATTTTTCAGAGTGCAGCTGAATTCATAGATTTAGTTAATTCTGCTATTCATAGATCAGTTTTCTTTCTAATATACCTAAATGGAAACTTCTTTTTTCACCCCAAATAACCAGGAACAGCCAGTGCTGAAATCTGTGTCTATTCTAAATGTATTACTCTTATTTTATTTTATTTATGGTATATGGGAGAGATTGACAGTACACTTAAAAATATTTTTGATTAATCCTTTAAAATCTGGATGTTGTTAGACTTTTGACTTAAGCTAAATCTCTTCTCTAGTTTGCTGCAAAGAAATTAGCACATCCTAAAGTGTTTAATTCTACTATGTGGCAAAAAGGAATCAAACATACTTTAATTGTCCATTTATCATATCATAAATTTGATAAGAATTTGCTAAGTAAGAATGTGACTTCTAATACAGGTGTTGTTATGATTCTAGGATGCAAGATAAACAATGTAATGCCTCAACTCATTATACAGCTATGTTACCTTTATCATATTTGACTATGGACCACTGGTCTTTGTACAGTGGAAGTACTAATCTTTGTGGTTTAAAGCATTTCTTTTTTTGTTTGTTCAGGTCAATTACATCTCCCTTTGTATCTAAATTCTGCTTTGAGGTTCACCTAATATTTGCATTAAAAAAAAAAAAAAAGTTGTGAAAAAGCAATCTAAATATGAAGCACATAACTGGAAACCATGGTTGAAGTAAGAATAGGGTGGTCTGAAAACTTCTTTGAATCTACCTAAAAATACATTTATATGGGAAGTTTGTTAGACTCAAATTTTTGTATACTTTCTTGTATTTCTGCTGTAGTCAATCTAGCAATTAAGGAAAAAAATAACTTTTCTCATGGTGTGGCTTCAGATACCAGATGAAAATGCAAAGCCTGTGACATTTCAGACACAGAACTGAAATTTTTCAGTCCAGTTTTTGGATATGCTGCTGAATCATTTATTTTCATACTTAATTAAAATGAATAATGTTTTAATTATGTTTTAACGTACAAATCATAAGCTTTAATTACTGTTTATTTTGCTGTTCTGTAGCATAATGTTGTCTGAAATGTTTCCAGTAAATAAACCATGTTCATACAGCAGGTTCTTAGAAATGATAAGCAGTCTTTGCGGACATATTTTTGCAAAGAGATCTTAATCAGTTATTCAGAAGTATTACATGGTTGTACAGAAAGATGGACAAACAGAAAATATTTATAGAAATATAAATATAATGGAAAACCTATCAATGTTCTAAGACAGTGCAATATGATCTAAGAAGCTGTCAGTGGCGTTTTCTGTTACAGCTTTTTAAATAAGGCTGAAATTTGCAAAGATAAAACACTGACAATGTTCTTCATTTTACAATACCCAGTACAGTAAAATTTTGGAAATAAAGTACTTTCACAATACTACTGAAATATATCCATTGCAATTTTAAAGTAGAGCGTAATGAAAAAAATATTCTGAGCTATTGATTTCTAGCAAAGCTTTAAGTGATCTTCTGTAGTGAATGCACACATTAGAAGCAAAGGCTGTCCAAATGGGACTTTTGGTATGTTTAACCAGCATTGTTTCAGACTTGGAGTAAAACTTTACTTCAGCTCAAAGCTATAGATTTGTGGCAATCTTTGCAGTTCACTGAACTTTTTTTGTGTGCATACATATTTCAAGTAAACTCCATAGTTATAAGTATAACAAGTGACACGTTATGGACCCTAAATCGTTGCACTGTGAAATATGCAGAGAAAAAGGACAAATGAAGATATCAAGGGTCTGTTCCATTTTGCACTGAACTGTAAAATGCCACCCTTGTTGTACAGAAGATCACTGGTTCTGAGCAGGGCTCATTGACTGCTAAGTTGTGGATAGTGTTTCACTTTCTGCAACTGTTAATATCCTGGGTTATCCAGGCATAATGACCTCTCTATTTGTGACACATTGTTGAATTTTCTGGTTCTTTTAACTTATTCAAACCTTTTTTTTTTCTTTCTTTCCTCTCCATTCATAGGAAGGCTGGAATGATTCTGAATTGAGCCGTGGTACAGAGCTGCTGAGCTGCTGGTCAGTCAGTTACAGTTGGAATCAGTGGTGCCACATCTGTAGATGAACATAAATGAAACTACATAGAAAAGGTACTCTACATCTTCACTAGATTTTCTGTAGGTAAGATTACGTAGGAATTTTTGCACAATTGCAGAAAATTTGCAATATTGTTTGGTTTTGATAGTTGTGAAATCTGATAAAATAAGTGGTCTGTTTTATAATAACCTATATTATGTTATGGTTGACACTTGATGTTCAATTTATAACTAGAGGTCATAAATTCCAATTTTATAGCTAGTCACCAAATTGCAATTGAATCATAAAAACTTATGTTAAATATATTAAATGGTCTTGAAGTTTAAAATAAAATAAAATTGCATATATTATACAGCATTTAGTTTCTGGGCCTGAATTCTTCCTCTAACCTTGTAAGGATCTGAATTTAGTGAAAGTGTGCCATGAGGATGTTAAGATATTTGAAAGCATGCAGAGGAGGGCAATAAAACTAGTAATAGGGCTGGAAGGTATGTCCTGTGAGGAGAGGCTGAGGACACTTTTGTTGCTGAGTCTGGGGAAGAGGAGGCTGAGACAACCTCATCGCGCTCTAACTTCCTCAGGTGGGGAAGCGGAGAGCAAAGCACTGGCCTCTTTCACTGCTAACCCATGTTATTTAGCTTAGTTTCAAATTTGCTGTCTGCTTCTCTTTTATTCTGTTTTCTGTGACTTACAGATCTTATTATGTAGTGAATCGTACTAAACCTTACTGACATGATAGAAAAAATATTTGCTAATTTCAGAGGACTTCAAAACCCAGGCACAGAAAAGCAAATAATATGAAGGATCTAATCTTCAGTACTGCATCCTTTTCTCATGACATCAATCCATGTTATTGTCTGTTATTGAAACACAAAATTACACTGAATGTAGTGGCTGCATTCATTCAGGGAAATATAAGAAGTATACCATAAGTAGCAGTGGAACAAAGAAAAATTTTAGGTGCTTGGCCTTTTTCCACTTTGGCTGTCTAAGGACTACAGATACCAGGTTATAGCTTCTTGATGAAATATGAACCATATTTCATAAGGGAATCACTGATATGTAATGCTGAGTCAAGCCAACTTATTTAGAAAACTGGGGAAAAGACTACCAGAGCTCGAGCAGGTATCTGGAGAGGTGGCAAAGCTGCGAACTTAAAAACTTTTGACAGCGCTTAAGGAGCTTATTATTAGACTATTTTAAATGTTACCACATTAATGCCCTGAGACTGATTCTGTGTCTGCTCTCACTCTTTCCAAATCATGTTAATATCATAGAGGTAGGAAGTTACAAGCATGCAGAATAAGTACATCAGAAGCAGCAGCTCACAAACTTTTTTTTGGAGGATACACTGGAGGATAAAGACTGTGCTGATTCACTGCCAAGTATGTAGTACCAAGCATGTAGCGAAGGAAACATCTGCAGGCACAATGGAGCTCCAGGTTTGACTACTATTTCTGGAGCCAGCTGTGACTTTCACCAGATTTTAAAATGATCCCTGGGTGGGTCTACAAATAATGGAGAAGAGCAAACTACAGCCAGTGTTGTCACTTAATTAAGTGGACAAATCAAAGAGCAATAAAATGCAGGTTCTTTTTAGACTATATACATGAAATACATGATAAAGGATGAAACTACTTGCACAAATTGTTTTTAAAATGCCTACTTCCAATGAGAGATACATCTTCAAAATTCAGCTTTTGAAAATTTTGTGTGAAAAGTGATCCTCTTCGTAATGCTAATGTTTACATCCAGATTCTATACAACTAATGGAATAGCAGTGGTAGTGCATAAACAGATTTTATTGGTAGCTAATATATAAGGCTGCAGGTGGGATGACTAGAGTTAATGGACTTGAAGCAGCTGATGGTTTCTTTAAATATATCCAACACATTTTCTCTTACCTAAAATTCTTAGTTCTCTAAGTTTTGAGGTGGAATAGTATAAAATACCACTTGTACATATTTTTAATAAACCTTTGCTTTCAGATATCAGATTGATAAAATACATTGGTATTGTTTAATTTGATAAGTACAGCTATGTGATATACAAAAAAGCTCACAAGCTAAACTATATTTATGAAAGGAAATACCATTTAAAACCTTTCACAAGTGTGTTCCTGCACTGACAAAAGTACAGGTTAATCTTCTGGGCAATTATTTGTTGAATCACATGTAGTTTAAGTTTAATCACATGCCTGTTTAAGGCAACATTTAAAAGGGCAAAAACCTCTTGTTTTTCATCTGGATTTAAGAATTTTCTGAAATTCTCCGTTGGTAACTGAAGTCTTTATGGTGTGATGAGATTATACCAACAAAAGGTATATCTTAAATTTAGTTATTGATCATAACATTCCATATAGTTCAAGTACTTTAAAATATTCCACTTGCTGTTTTGCTACACAGCACCTGTAAAAGCACCTGCCAATATGTGCAGCGTTCACTCATCAGTAGGCCTTTGCCACTGCAGAAGGATCAAGGGGAAAGTTCTTTTAATAGATGATATCTATTAACTTGTTCAGCATGAGAGATCATTTGCGAAGATGGATATGTTCCCAATGGCATAGCTCTGAGGGTCACTGTGCCTTTTACGCCTGTGCTTCACAGAAAAGAAACAATTGGATAGGATAGGGTGAATGTTTTACTAGACCATTGGGCACATTGATTTTTATTTTCATGGATATGTAGATCAAATTGAAATAACCTAAAGGGGCTGATGTGATACCCTGGGACTGTTGCAGATGTCAAGATTTGTAGTAAGTCTGTATATTTCTAGTTCTTGGTGCTCCCTGTAGAAAAATAGCATGGGGTGTCATTGAGATCTGTCACTTGCTGACACCTGGGGGGAAAAAAATAACCCCTACCTCTGCTAGACATTTCTAAGACATATCCCAGATGAACAAGATTGTGTACTGAACCTAGTTTTGATTTATTTACATTTAAAGTAAGCGTTACGCAAGTCAGACACGCATGGTCCCGGTTGGCTGATATATCCTTAAGCAACTGTCTGTATACTGGAATGCAAAGAGTTCTGTCTTGCCTGATGTAGGATGTGACTTCAGAAATGTGTTTTTGTAAACACCCTGAAACTACTGATCAGGAACAGTTTCTATTTCAAGACTTGATGACATTGCATCTACTTAAGCAACCTCTGTTCAACTGACACGTGAAAAATGAAAATAAAAAAGAAAACTATTAAGAGCACTATAAAATGTCATTTAATAGAGAACGTAGTAATGTGGACAACTAAAATGAAGAAAAGCAAAAAAAACCTAAAATTTATTTGAAAGTTTGACTTCTGAATTCTGCAGGAATATTACGCTTTAGAAGAATTTACAGATTTTTAAATCGTTTTCCCCCCTAAGGCTCAGGAAAAATTGTTATATGCATTATTTAAATTGCAGAGGAAGAAGGAATATAAATTGTTTTAAATATCAGAATCATTCTTTCCTTGTATGTATGTAGTAGCTTTTTTGAAGTTATTCACATTTTTAAAAAGCAATCCGACTTACTTGGGTGAATATAAAGTTATCTTTACATAACGTTAGCTTTAGTAGTTCTACCTGTAACAGTATGAGTTTCAGTTTTATGACAATCTGATATTTATTCAGCTAATATATGTAAAATTGTAATTTAAAGTTTAATGTTGTAGAACTTGCCAGGCTGACAGGAAGACAGCAGTTCTTGTTTTAGTTACAGGAATAGAAATTTCTCCTTGTTAACATGTGTTATTCCCAATTTGCATATCTAATGTACAGAAGTTGTTCAGATACTCTTCTGGTAGGTCCAGAAAGGGTGATTGTAATGCAAAAGTGTCCAAAGAAATCAATCAGGGAGAGTTGATTGATCTTGATTTTATATGGGTTGAATCATGAGCTGATTTTAAATACTTTTAATTACTATATGTAATTAAAGGTTTGGACCACTTCATTTGGAGACTGATCCACAGAGCTGGGAAATCAATTTTGCTTCAGAAACTAAATCTTTGGTTTAACCTGTGGTAGCCTTTGGAGCAGGATATCAGGTGAGATCATTTAGGGTTCCTTTGTATTTATACTCTGTTAACCACAATTTTGATTCTTCTAATTAAGTTCACTTGGTTTGTGTTTTTTTTTTTTTTTTATCTTATTTTATTTTTTTTTTCAGTATCTTTTAAGGAGAAGGCTGATCATGCCATTGTGGACAATCAGCTTGCCCGGAACACTCATTGCTCTTGTTTAACTCAATCACTCCAGCAGTCCTTTATTATCTAAAATATTATCCAAACACATAGTGAAGGTAAAATTCACTTCTGGCATACTGATTGGGTTTACCTGAGTCAGAATAATGTGATTGAGGTAAGCAGCTGAATTATATTCCAGTAGCAAAGAATGAAAGATAGAAAAGGATTTTCAAAAATCTTCATTTTAGTAACAAATGTGGATACAAATACTGTTAGTCATTAATGAGAAATGTAATAATTTGGAACCTGATTTTAAAATGCCCATGCCCTTGGTATCATATAGAGAGAACAGTTCTGGTTGAGGTAGCTTTTCTGATTTAGTTTCCATTACTACAAAAATATATTTATTCCTTTTCACTTTACAAATTCTTAATGCATGATTAATTTTCTATTCCTTTTATCCAATAAACTGAGCTGCAGAGACCTTATTTCTTTTTCACATCTTTATTTACTGTTAGGTACTTATCCATGGTGTTTTCAGAAAGCAACCTTTTTTTCCCCTTGTGAAATCATGGTATTTGAAGTGTAAATGCCAATTTTTATTTATTTATTTATTTATTGTAAAATGAAATGCAAGTCTTTGAAGTACTCATTTTGTAACAGAGACAAGTAGCATCTATCAGTAGTGAGTTTAGGAAGTAATGGCTCCATCTGCTGTTAGGTGTGGTATTATTTCTGCATTTGGCAAATAGCGGATTTTGGGATGTGTCTTTCTTTTTAAATGTATTCTCTTTTTCTTTTGAGGGGGGGAAATTCTTACCACCGTAAACACTGTAGTCTTACTACAATAATTCCTGTTCCTGTTTTCTAAATATTTTGTATTTATCAAATAAATTAATATAAATATAAAACTAATGAAAACAGTGCAGGACTTTACTTGTGATTTTTTTAATGCTTTTTTTTCTTGAATTGTAGTTCACATTTTAAATTATTTAAATTATATCGTGAAAATATATCTTATTCTTCAGTTGGTATAATAACTTGTTATAACTAAAAGTCAGTATTTAGAAGTGAGGCTAACTCTGAAAGGAATCTGAAGAGCAATCTAAAATGAGATGCATGCTCCAACACTTTTAAATTCATTCATTATCAGAGGCTTAAAATGCATTCTGGGAAAGCATTTAAGCCACTTAAGCTCAAGCCTGATATGCTACTAACACATCCTGTTAACATTGAACAAGGATCGAATATAGGGATTTAGTTTATAGAAGAAACATGGCAAAAAGCTTTAATAAATAGTGCGATGTTCTTTGATCGAAGAAGTTAGAGGCATCTTATTTTTATTGCAGGACATGCAGCACATTTACTGTGAAATTAATGTGCTGTGGGAAATCCTTTATAGCAGTTTCTAATGTTATGTATGAATATCAATAAATCAAAAACCAATCCACTGTCAAAACAGGTGTCCTAAAAGCTGTCTCTCAATAACAAGAAAAAAAAATTTTGATCTTCAGATCTAAACAGAAATGCTAAATTTAAAAGCATCCTTCCTCCTCCAAGAAGTATTTAAAAATAAATAAATAATTACAACAGAAAATTTTCAAAATAACAGTGAGTTACTGTTTTGCTTACTTTTAGTAGTTAAAGGAAATAGCACATACTTTAAAACATATTGATTAAAATTAGGTATATTTTCCTGGGTGTAACTATGCTGCTGAGAGGTTCCTTTCTACTTTGGTCAGGTGAAGTCTTCAAATGACAACAAAAATCTGGACAGTATGATCACAATGATCTTCATACAGCGTTGACAGGCACTCCCCTTTATTAGTGTGTGTTGCTGGTGATGAGAACCCTGAGCTCTTGTTTGAGTTCTGGTGTTTTGTAGGTCAGCAGGTTCATACACATTACTATCAGCACGGACAGCATCCATGGACAATCAGTGGAAGGGTGAAAGAGTATTCACCAAAGTGTAGGTTTTTTTTTTTTTTCCAGCAGCCTTGTCATCTAAAAAAAAAAAATTTAAAAAGTTAGGTTGCATTAGCATGTAAGTGCTTTATATCCAGTGATTCATGCTGTTGAGGATTCTTTAAATTGTGCCTTTGTCTGAGCATTTGATCATGTTAAACACACGAACATTTTGAAAATGTTTACAGAAATGTTGGAAATGTCTGCAGTGCTATATACTGATAACCTTGGGAAAAATGGGGGAAAAAAATTAACAAAACCCTGCCAAGTAATAGCAGATCTCTTCTAGCAGTAGATTTCCCTTTTTAATCTTTTCAGATTGACATTGGATTCAACTTGATTACTCAGACAAGTTGAATAGACAGATAAACTGGAGATTGTGTTCCTATTGCATTGTATGCTATTTGGAATTATTCTAGAATGCTTTGAATAATCACAAAATATTGTCACAAAATGTCAGCTGTACTATTCCTTATTTCAGTAGGCATACTGATTATTTACTTCAATATAAAATATACTTCAACATTAAAAAAAAATTGCAGTTTAGAAACCTCTCTCCTTATAATATACAAAGTTTCTGATTATAACAGCTACAATACTTCAGTTCTAGCCTGTATGTCTTCTAGAGGGGAAAAAATACTAACAATAGTAGATCTGTTTGAAACGTTGTATTTCTCTATATATTTCCTATCACATTCACTTTATTTGTAGTGTCATGTTGTTTTAAGTTGCAGCATATGTAGGCCAACAAAAACTGACATAAAGGAAAGCAGCAAAATGCAGTGTAATGATATGTGACACATCATCCAGACTGAGAAGAAAATGTACTTTCTTGGATTTAATACCTGCTGCTTACTGTATTTGCCATTAATGTACACTCTCCTCTATGCAATCAACATATAGTTAACTTTTTTATGTGAGAGAATAGTATCTACTGAAAAACAGTAAAATCATGAGGTATTTATTAAGACACTGATCCATAATTCAGTCATGACATTGCTTTTCTTTTTCATAAACTTTGTTCTTATGTAGAAAGGAAAAAATAATTTTATATTTTCCCCCCTTGAATGTTTATTAGCCTAAAAATGTAACGATATCCTTACTTGCAGTAGGTCAAGTTGTATACTCTTTTTCAGGTAAATGTTACAGATAATTTATAAGTAAAAATTTCAATTTGAGAAAGTGAGCAAGATAAGCTAATTGTGTTCTTCAGTGTGCTTTGTTGCAAGTTTTGAAGGTGCATTTCCCAATAGGTTTCTATGTAATTGGTGTGCACTGAAAGCAAAATCTATCCTAGATGCATGTGTTGAAATGTGTTTAGGACTAAAAATAAAACTTTATAAAGTATTATTTGATTAAGAGTAGAACTGTCTGCAAAACAGTTTTCCTGTCCCGGAAAGGTTTGAGGTTTTTTTCACGTTCATCACCAGGAGTTCATTGTGTGTTCACTTCTCTGAAAGAGAGAGGTTCTCCTGTGTACCCACAGTGGCTGTTTAATGCCAAGGAAATGCGGGCCTATAGGTACTGTGATGAATCAGACAGAAACAAGGACTCCCTCATCAGCTTCCATGCCGTCTGGCCTACTGGCATAAACGTGCCGCACAGTGCCATGTGGCAAGCTGGGTTTGAGTACCCATGTGGTTAATAACTATCATTTTACTGTGTTAATTTTAACTTAGATTTGTTCTGTTTGTTGTCATTGCATGGCTGCCAAATGCTTTGTTCTGGCACAGAAGAAATGATGGCATGGAGTCAGGAAGAAAAGGTGAAAAGTGAACAAGAAAGAAACCAGAACCACTTATCTTAGTAGCACTGGTAAGTAAGGTGAGCATAATGTTCTTGTAGAGGAAGAGTGTTATTTAAGGAAATAGACTCCAAGCTCACAGTTCATATAGCCGGGTCTGAAAAATATGCCAGAAATCTAAGTTAGCATATTCCATCAGAATTAAAATACAGATGGAACTGAAGCAGCACAGGAAACTTTAGTGATACATGGTCTATTCAAGGTGATAAACAGGAGAGGAGTTAACATTACTGATTGGTAATTTTTGTTGTTGTTTTCTTAAGAAGTAAAAACACCCCACTCTTTGCTGTACTGCTGCTGTTGTGAAGGGATTTAATTTAAAGCAAAGTGTTTTCCTAAATTGAAAATATCTGCACTCATGGGAAACGTCCTAACAGAAAGCTAAATTAAAAATAATGTAGCTGAAGCTTTAAAAAAAAAAAAAAAAGACGCTTTATTGTTAAGCATGTCTAGTAAAATTTAAGGTCAGAACAACAAATTAAACATTATGAAGTGTTCTTAAGGTATGAACAAAAAAGTTCTCTCAGAACATGAGAGTAGATTTGAGTTTAGGTGTTTAAGTGTTTCGCTTTTTGTTCAAGCCTAGAAGTTCTGCTGAATCAGTGGAATGTCCATGCAGAACTGGCTTTGGAAAATGTCTGTGTGCTTAAGTATTGTAGCAATACCTACTTTAAAAATGAAATTGTTTATGTTGATACACTCTTGAGTGACATAACAGAGAAAAAAGATGGCTTTTCCTATACTTCTGAGGTACTTCAGCCTGTAACTATAAGAGTTTAATACGTTAATAGATTTGTTTGCTAGTGTTAACTGTCAAACTGTTTGAATAGTTACTAGTTTTGGTCTAACTTTTTGTGGTAAATATCTATACATTTTCTATTAAAGATAGTACAGATGGTCACAGAATTTAAAACTAAAGCCTAATCAAATAAAATGTATATTAAGGCAAGACTCCAAAACAGTGATTGGTATCAAAGAGTGAAGCACATTGTCTTACATGTGCTTCAACCACACCATTGCTGGGTGGTCAAGGGAAGTGATTGTCCCGCTCTACCCTGCGCTGGTGCGGCCTCACCTCGAGTACCGTGTGCAGTCTGAGGTACCACAGTATAAGGCCATAAAACTATTAGAGATCCTCCAAAGCAGGGTGACAAAGTTGGTGAAGGGTCTAGAGGGGAAGACACATGAGGAGCAGCTGAAGTAACTGGGATTGTTCAGCCCAGAGAAGAGGAAACTGAGGGGAGGCCTCATGGCGGCCTGCAGCTCCCTCACGAGGGGAGTGGAGGGGCAGGCACTGAGCTCTGGGGACAGTGACAGGACCCGAGGGAACGGCATGGAGCTGGGACAGGGGGGGGTCAGGCTGGATTTTTGGGTGCTCCTGTGTGGAGTCAGGAGTTGAACTCCATGATCCTTGTGGATCCCTTCCAACTCAGGATACTCCATGATTATAAATAAAAAAACATTCTTCCAGTTTCACCATGGACACAGACTTCTGACAACTGCTTGGATAGAAGTGTTGGAGCCTGAGAAATTGGCATGTTTCAGGCGTTTGGACATGTAAGCAAGGATCAACAGTATTAAGTAGATAAATGATTTTATTTAATTAAAATAGTAACATTTTCTTTGATTTAAGATAATCAAAAATGTATGTATATGGTATGTTTTAATTTAGAATATGCCATATAAAATTCCTTTAATATTTCATGGAAATGCCTACCTAAATATGTTACTTAATTACATATGATTATCTAAACATAAGGATACATTTTTTTCCTCATGTTTATAAGAATTCCTGTTTTGAGAGCTGTCAGTCTTTATTCTTAAACTGATACATAATGATAAAAGATTTTTATACATTTTTCACTTGAGTGCATATGAAAAGGTCATTATCTAGTTGTACATTCAAAAACTTTGTGAAATACTAAGTTATTTACACACAGGAACTTCTTGTAATATTGCCTACATCGATGACCACTTTTCCCATCATTCCTGGTGTTTAGATTGTTGTGATTCTGCTGATAAAGCTGATGTTTTTCTTCAGTATTCCTCTGCCTCTGTCCTTTCCTACAGGCTTACCCTGAGTTTGTCCTGACCTACCTAGAGGAACTAAATGAAAGAGGAGGTGACCCAGACAGAAAACCGCATTCACCATGGGGCCTGATCTGCAGCTCATCGGGAGATAGACAGCAGCTCAGCAGAAGAGGTCATAGTATTAAGCCAGAGGCAGATCAGAGACAGTCCTTTCAAAAACACATTTTGAAAGGGAAAATAGTGTGGAAGTCAACTTATTTCCTTAAATAACCTAATTTGATTTCTTAATTTAATAAAGTGTTTATATAATAAGCAAATAATAGTTGTAGATAGGATTTTAATGAATCAACATGTATTTTGTGTCTATTTAGATCTCAGAACTATTTTATATTCACTATGAGAAAAAAAAAATTGAAATTTCTTATTTTCTATATGGAGAAACTTGGAAGGAAGGAAAGGAAACAAAAATCACTCTGTAGGTTTGTTTCTTGATGCATCTTGACACAACTATTTGTATTTCTGACATTTTCTGTTGATCAACAGCCTTACTTGCAGAAGTAGACACACATTATTTTAATTAACAATTTATGAATTGCATGCTTGTACTTCCATCTCTTAGATACCACAAAAAAATGTCAGCAACCCCAATCAGAAACAACTTTCAGGACCTTTGGACGCCCATTTAATGCCTGCAGATCCCCTAGGGGAGACTACACAGCTGACAGTGGCACTGGTGAGGAAACTAGAAGAGAAACATCCTAAGGCCTCAGCTTAAAGGTAAGCCACTGACAGAACTGATATTTATTGTTCAATGACATTAGATGTTTTCCTTCAGTTTCATGTAAGATTGATTTCCTGGATATTATTGAAATATCTCAGAAACCCTCTGGCTGATAAGCGAACATGGATTTTGCCTAAAATTAATGAAAAAGGGTGACATTTATGTGCATTTCTTTTAAAGATTGATGTGTAGAATGTTTGATAATTGAAAATTTATTTTTCAGTTTTATCTAAAAACCTCACGTTACACAAATTACATAAAGAAATATAGCTTCTATCAACATTGTGACATCTTTTGTGCCACACGATTTAAATTTAAATGGTTAATGCTTTGTTATAAACCTTAGAAGTCATGCTGAGCTGAAGTACTAAGTGACACAGTTACTTTCAATATAGGACTGTATTTTAATTTGAGTAAAAGTTTAATAGTAATGTTTTTAACTACTTCTACTTACAGAAGGCAGACAATGTTGCCCTGGTTTGAGGGTTCTTCATAACTGGGGAAAAAAAAAATTTTGGTTAACTAGCCAAATGCCATTCTTTAGATGTTTTTGAGCTTTTGAGTGTTTTCTTAGATCAAAACATTAAGAAAACAGAGCCTCCCATTCAAATGGAAGGCCACTAGACATTACTCAATATTATAATGAAAGTTGAATTAAGTAAGTTTTTGAATATTAAGCTAAAAAACTTCTTTTGGTGAACACAGACATTTGATTTTGAAGATTATCTGCAGTTAAAATAGTTTATAAGCATTGAATGCTTGACTTTGTGTCTTTATGCATTTCTTTCCACCAAAAGTGGAGTCACACAGTCTAAAGTATTTTTCTGAACTATAATTATTAAAATAATAAATTAATAACATTATTGTCAAAAACGTTGTTAAATAGCAGTGGCAACTAATTCAAAATTCCTGCAATTACCTCTGTTATGGAAGTTCTAAGTGAGATAAATCCTAATTTCCTGCTGTTTTTCAGCAGACTGTGATAGACTAACGTATTCTGTAGCTCATAGAATGCTTTCCATGCCCTTCTGGAAGATGATGTGAGAAATAAGAGAAAGGTGTCTATCCTTCTATCTATTCCAATGTAGGAATGAAATTTGCCATTCTTTACAGTACATGAAAAACTGTCATAGGTGCAAATGAAGAATACATTGTGTTAGTAGAGGAAACTGTATCTCTGTGTCCTAGAATTTTTGTTTCAGGAGTTGGTCCAGCTATTTAGGTTGATAAAGTAAATATTATCCTGCCCCTCCAAAGACGGTCAACTGTTTTTTCAAATTCTTTTTGATTAACTGTCCTGCTCAACACACTTGTAGACTTCTTATCAGACTGTTTTTTGAGAAGTGATCTGAAGAGTCTCTAAAAGGAGATTCAGTTGCCAAGGCATAGGTGTTCAGTGTGATTTTCAACTGTTGAAGAATATATCACCAGGCTTTCAGCTCCTTCAGATTACGGTAAATCTCCTGCAAGTCTTGTATCTGTAAGGTGCAGATCCTTAGGATACCTTAGCAGTCTCAAATACCAACAAGGGTCTATGTTTAAGAAATTGAATCCTGCCCTAAATGTTTCCTTCTCTAGCTTAGTGTTTTGTGGGAATGTGCAGCTCAGAGCTTCATTATTAGGGTTTTATTTGTTTGTTTCTGGTTTGGATTCTGAGAAACAGTCTCCATGCTTTCATGGAGAGTCACCACAGAATGAAGTCAGTGCCATAATGGAAGAACATCTAATCTATAGGTTTTTGTAGGAAGGGCTCTATGAAAAGAGGGATACATTTCAAAGAATGTGGGTAGTTGGATTACAAATTAATCTGTTTGCAATAATTTTTATGCACCTAGACGTTCTTATTTTTGCTGGTTGAAACTTGCATTGAGTCCTTTTCTTACCTTCATCTTGTTCAGACACTTGCACATTATTCTATGATACATGGTAGCAAAGACAAGCAAATTGTCTTGTTTCTCTGCATGTCCTTCCTTAGCAGTCTCAACAAGTCCTTTTTGTCTTTGGGGACACCTTATTCAAGGTGTAAAATGATGTTTTTTTGATTGCGTCTGATACTTTCACAAATCTTTGAGATGCATTATGTTTGTAGGATATGACAACCTGAATTTCATCTATGATTTACCTGAATTAATCCCTGAGTTCCTATGTGAAATGTGAAAAACTCATCCATTCCAGTAAATGACGTTGCCAATAAATAAATCTGTTCCATTTCTAAAAGGCAAACATTACCCCAAATGGACAAAAAATCCTGTCATAAGCTAGTCCATAGGTATGGAGGGTTGAAATTTGCTAAGACAACATAGTATTTAGATAAGAATGAGTGGAGAAGTGAGCTGTATGATTCTGATTCCTGTACCTCCCTCAGTGTACAGGAGCTAATGACTTAACTAGAAACTAACAGCCACAAATTTCCTTCCCATCCTTATTCTCATGGAACTGCTCACATAAGGGAAGCTGCAGATCCATTATCTCCTTTCACTCAAATTTTGGAGAATGAACACATGACAAAAGATGACATAGTATCCTCTTTGCATCAAGAAAACAACTTAATGTTTTAGGTATTATATGGTAGAAATGCGACTCCTGTAACTTCTGACAACATCTTAAATTACTTCCCTTATTTTTATGATCTTCCTAGTTGAGCCCTAAAAAGGAAAGATGGTACTCTTGCATCATCAACTGTAACAGATCAGATTTCTTTTGATGTCAGCTAAGTCTCTAAAATGAGCAGTTACTTCATGAATTTGCATGCAACAGTTCACCCGTTTTTCTTGTATGTATCTCTAAGATAAATATTTTGTACTTCAAATGGCGTATTATTTGTTCCTTTTGTTTCAATATTTGTATGTCAACATGGAACCCTGACAAATTCTAGTAAGAAAAAGGGGAAGAAAAAACACTCGCTCCGTATTTTGGGTCTCCCAGCAATGCATTGAATTTGTGATCTGTCCCTTTAAATAACACTGGTAATGTTCCTAAAATTAGTCACCTGTTTTAATGTATTTTTAGTTTGTGGCCTTATTGGATCACTTTGCTCCCAAAGGTAGGCCTGATTTCACAGTTCTCTAAAGATTTTGTCTCCAATGTGGATATTCATTTAAGTGTGTTCCAAGCTACGTACATGCTAGGTACAAGCACTCCTGGATCTGGGTCAGAATACTTATGACCCTGTCATATTTAATACTAAGACAGACACATCTGGGACAGTTGGTTTCATTTCATTTTTTTCTGAATCAGTTGGGCGGATTCAGTTATTACATTTCTTAAGACTTACCAGTGGAGGAAAAATGACTAAAGAACACCCCAAGGAGACAGAAGTGTTCTCCCACTTTCATCAGTGACACAACTATGAATTGGTAAAATTGTTTGTAACGGCTAATTGAATGTTTGACCTTTGATTCTTTACAATGCATAAGCAGTTTATAAATTCTAAGTGGACAAAATAAAGGTGAAAGTCATGATCTACGTTATGAATTATGATTAGTCCATGGATACAGATGGGAATGTATTTTTTTAAAAGATAGTTGGTTTTGGATACCAAATGCATTAAAAATACAATTATTAATGTTCCACTTATAAACAGCTCTACACTGTATTTTTCTATTTAAAAACTAGTCTGTATTAATTTTAAATACACTTTAAGATTTCTTTGTGAAAACTCCTTTATGACAACCATCTTTTCACTGAGTTGAAATGATTTTCCATGATGTATCTGCCATGTAAGCGTTCTAAAGGTTAAAGCTTTGAATTGGTGACACATTAGCTTTCATTATAAGCTTTAGTCTCATCTTGACAAAATTATTCTAATAGCTGTATCTGCCACAGATACAAATTTGGTTCTCAGCTCATCGCAAAGGGGAAATGTTATACGTCCATCTGAAAATGAAAGGAATGTATAATAAACATTACAGTCCCATTTTTAGAAATCATTTGAATATATTTGTTTACATTAGTATACTGGTTTGAGCGGCTTACCTTTATTTAAATGGAATAAGAACTGGGGGGGAGGGAGGAGGAGAAGGACTGTAGCAGCCGACAAAGCATGGTGACCCAGCTTGTCACCCAGTGACCTGTGAGAAGGAAATAATGAACTGTGAGTAGCCATCATCTTAACTGTTTCTGACAGTTTGGCTATGGGCACATCTGTGTTAGTTGCATGGAAAGGCCTTTGTTGTTTTCCCACTAGTGACTTTGCAGACCGCTGTGGGGTTTGCTAGCTGCCCTGCTCTTACACTTCCCCTCCTTTTTAAGTAGGAAGAGCAGCTGCCACTGATAGAGCTGACATTTCTTTTAATGATTAACTTGGCATTTATATCATTACAAAGAAGAAAATAATAGAATTTCTGCTTATTGTAAATAAAATTATTGTCTATATTCATGTAAGATCAGTTGCAAGTATGCCTGTAATCATTCTGTGTTACCTACTCAACTTGAGCAGTGTTTAATGTCTGTTGGTACCCTTTCTTCCTAATGTCTTGTCATATTTAACTATTTTGAGTAAATTATCAAGTCTGGTAATGTTTTATATACTGCAAATATCATTCTAAATGTGGTGTATGATAAAACTAGGCAGCTTTTCATGACTAAATGGTACGTTGCAAAACAAACAGAAAAACACTATTTATTTGCTGTTACAGAAAACATAGAAAAACATGTTTCATTTTCTAGATTGACCAAAGTATCCATGCCTTTTCTGGTGCAGTAGTACTAAATCTCAGATAAGTTGGCTCACAATGTAATTAGAATTTTCAGCTAGGAGAATTAAATATAGAGATGCCTGTTCTCATGAGAGATGTCACTAATTTGGCATCTCTAGTTGGAGAAAAGTCTTTTGAGTTTATCAGTCCTCTGGGTGTGTTCATCCTCCACAGAAAGACTTAATGAAGAGGAGTTAAAAATACGAATGGCGCTGCTCAGTTGTTTGTCTCTTTTTCTGAGATGAAATTCAGAATAATTTGCTAGGTACTTTGCAGTGTCTTTGTAAGACTCTATTTCT